GAATACTCCAAAATGCATAACTTGTATATATTTCAATCACTTGATCATTTCAAGGTCTAATATACATCTATTTGTCCATAATATTACTCTATTTACATCATTTGAACGAAAGGACTTAAGGCCCGAAAGCTCGACAAAGTTATTTTAAATTTTTGAAAATTTTAGGGGAACTACTGATAGCTCGTGTACGTGTTATCGGTAGCTAAGCCTTACGCCAACAAGCTAACAGTGCAAATTTTTGGATGAGCTACCGACAGCTCGTGTACATGCTACCAGTAGTTGTTTCCTTTGGAATTCTGCTATTGGTAGCTCAAGACTTGCTGCTGGTAGATGAGTCCAGTTTTCCCATAATTCAATCTTTTTTCAATTTTAACTCATCAAATCTCATACAACATTAAATTTTACTCAAAATATAGTCCATAAAGGTTCATTACACAACCCTTTAAACAATATTATATGTCCAAAAACTCATTACCCAATTATTTTACAAAAATGTAATATAAATTCACAACTCGACTTTTTTCATTAACGAGGGACCAAATGAGAGCCGTCTACTGGCGCTTGTTCCGCACCTAAAATGTTGCCCCCATAAAGAGTGAGTCACGCTCAATAGCGTATCTCTTAAAGAGGCTACTCTCCAACCTAGATGTATATGAAATGTTCACATGCAATTCAACAATCAAACAAGTATTCATCCAAGAACATACAACTTCAAGAATGAATGTCATAATTTCATGTCATGTTATGAGGTAAGACTCACACATGCAATGCAACCCGAGCCTTCAGTTGCTCCTATAACACATGTAATGTCATGTGTATGAATACGGACATTCCAAGCCCCCGTCATTGATGTTACACATCCAATGACCATTTATAAATCTCAGGTCTTTCTTGGGGTGGGTATTTACGAATTTTCACAAACGGCTCCGCACACGCGGACACACTTTATGGACTCAATACCAATGGGGTGCATATCCAAATCACTGGATCTTGCACCTGATAGATAATCTAGCCCATCTTGTTAACCTCGACCCTATTTTCAATACCATCTGTGCGACTCACTCAAACTTTGGTCCAACTTTTTCGAGCCCACACATCATCTATCAAGAATGGTGTTTGATCAAAATCATGCACACACTCACACTCATGTCACATGCCCACGAATGTAATACTTCCCATGCATTTGTAATGTTATGTACACTTGCATTTCATACTATTATGCAACCCAAATTTCAATTACAATTACAACACCATGTACAACATGTCATAAACACAATATGAACAACTTCAATTATTTAATGTAACTTATATCATAAAGTGTATAATTACATTCCAACATCATCACATTCCCAAATTGTCAATTATATCAAAAGCGTATAATTACAATCCATATTTTCATCAAGCATGTTACAACATTTTCATTGAAACAAATATGCTACATCAACATAAGCATTTTATCAAACACCTAAAAGACACAAAATCATGTAACACACAATCCTGCCCAATTTATCACATTTCTCATGAATTTATCAAACAAACAAATTCCACAAACTCAATTTATGTAAGATTAGTTTAGCATATTTCTATACTCATTTCTCTTACTCTAGTTATAGTAGGAGTACATCAAACAAAAGAATTTATCTCTAATCAAATTACTCATTTCATACGCAACCCTAAGTTGAAAATAAACCTAGCTATGAAAAGAACCATACCTCTCGAAGCGTAATACGAATGGTAGAAAATTCAAGAAAACTCAACTCGAGTTTTAGAATTTGATTTCCAAAAATTCTGTTCTTAAGACTTCGTCAAAATCCGCACTTTTGGGTACGTAGGCATAACTCTCGTCGCGTAGAACAATTTTTATTCTTAGCTTGAAGAATTCTTATGAACAAATCACCCTAGATCGCAAGAAGAAGATGGAAAAATCCTTAAATTTCTCTCTTCTTCTCTCCCTCTCTCAATCTGAAAATCTATTGGGTAATGAGAAGAAAATCTGATTTTTCTCTCCTATTTATACTCATTGAATACTTGGCCCATCAATTAAATCTCATTCCGTTTTAAGTTTAATATATTTTATTTAAACTAATTTTAAATTATTTTCTATGTTTCACAATCAATTTTCGATCGCGTTTATTTTGGTCACACGACACTCAATCGCCTCGTAAAACACAAAAAATCAATTGTCTCGGAATTCAACAAAAATTAATTGGATAACTAGATTTCGCAAAATGAATCCAACATTGAGATATGTTTCGTCATTCAAATTCTAAAAAAATTCAGGTTTTCAACCTATACTATAACGACTAATCACCGTTTTGCCATTTTTTTCATAAAAATTCAATTTTTTTTAGGTTTTACAAAAAGAGTATACATAGAATGAGTGAGTTTAACTATTAATGAGGTATATGTAGCATGAGATAGACTTAATTACTAATGGAGTAGGTATAAAAGAGGTGAGTTTAATAGTTTGAGAATGATAAATTAAATAGGGTAGAAATAGAGATTTATGGGGTGGGAGTAGTCCCACCCAAAACTTATTGAAATATCTCAAAACATATAGATTTCGAAATTTGATGATAGTTTTATTTTTATTTTCATGAAAATCGAAACTTTTTGACCCGTTCAATGAAAACAAAATCGAATTTAGTTCCTAGGCCCTGTAGTAGATGTTGTGTATAAAATATGTTTAATTAGATCGAAACGGAAGCAACCTCTTTCTATACGGGTTAAGGTTGTACACATCTGATTTTCTTTAGGTCATGTGGTGATGGAGTCTTGTACACTAGCACACTCTTTTTCTTGTGTGGAATAATAAAATGAGGGAGTTCAGACCTCTAACATGATGTTTAAGAGAAGGAGAGAATGGACCTAAATTGGTTATCAAAACCTTTGCATATATTTATATTCAACAGATCAGTTCTATAAAATAAGACTAATTCGTTTAATAACTAAATGAATTTGTATCCCAGACCCAAAAGGACAAAAAAAAGGACTTGTATCAATTGTTCCTCATAGTGTTTTAAAACCCGACCAAGTCCGGTGGGTCAACCCGGTGAACCGGTGCCCTAACCAGACCGGTTCTAACAAAAGACTGTTTATGCAATGAACCCGAGATCAACCCGTTGAATTGGTCAAAACCGGTGAACCCGTGAAAATTGGACGAGTTTATCAAACCGGCCGGTTTAATTTCATTTGTATAAATGTGAAATTTTTTTCATCATTTGGACATTTTGTGTTTTTCCCCCTTTTGTTTTGCCCTAAATCGATCCACCAGACCAGACACCAGTGATAGCCTCCACCACTAACGACTGAGCACAATTCAACCTCCACCAGCGAGCAGCAGCGATCCATTCTCCAGTCCAGCCTCCACTCCAGCACCAGTAGGCAGCACAGTAATGATCCTCTTTTGATTTTCCCTAAATCGATTTCCAGACCAGACACCAGCAACTGAGCACTAAGCACAGCCTCCACCAACGACTGAGTCCAACTTCTAGGAATCCAGTCCAGTCGACTCCAGTCCACTAGCCGTGAGTTCCCCCCCCCCCCCCCCTCTCTCTCTCCAATCTAGTCGACTCTAGTTCACCACCAGTGAGTCGACTTCAGCAACCGGAAGAACTACATTGAGCATCGACGACTACCAGCAAGTACATACTCTCTCTCTCTAACTCTATGTTATATCTAATTTTTGGTTTATATTTTGTGTAGAATATTGAAATATACATTGAATCTTTGATTAATAATGCTATATTTTATACATTGAATGAAGTTTGATTTTTTATACATTGATTGACTTTGAACTTTGAAGAGTGTAAATTACATGGATTATGCTTGGATTAATGCATAGTAGGAGAATTAGAGTTAGAATTAGGGCCTTGAACTGAAATAGATGTATTTTTCTCTACTGAGCTTTATAAGTGATATTGGATATATGTTTGATGATTTTTCTCTACTTGACTTTATATGTTTGATTTTATTTTCATAATTATTGTGATTTTTTAGCCTATTTATTAGTATTTATAATTATTTTTTATTTTTTATTATATTTACCTGTTCGATCAGTGATCCATTGACCCGGTGCCTTTGCCAAGTTGATATCCGGGCTGGGTTTTAAAACTATGGTTCCTCAATAGGCCTATCAATTGTTCTTGAGTAGATCTAATTGCATTGGTGAGGTGGGTTCGAGTTATGTTTTATCGAATTTATGTTAAAAAATATTTTTTTATATCTAATTTACTTATTAATTTGTATCTAATTAATCATATCATATTGAGTTCGTATTATATATAAATTGTGTACATTTGACATATAAATGAGTTAAATCATGTATTTCTTTTGATTGGTTTCACTTAGATTTGATTCGTTTATTAATCGTATTGTGTCAAATCTACTCATTTATAAAACCAGTATCTTAAAGACGAAAAAACATTCATTATAACGGTAATACCACGTTAGTATTGTCACGTGTTATTATCAATCAATAATATACACATAAATAAGGAAGTAGACTCCACATCGATCAATAATTATCCGCACATTTAAACAAACAAATATTCATTATTCTTCCAAATAAATCAATAATTGCACAAGTGAAATTAAAATTTTATTATTAGTTGATTACAAGGATTAAAATTTTGTTTCGGTATATTATTTCGGTCACCTAGAAAATGAAAATATTTCGATCTGTTTCGAAAACAAAATAAAAAATAATAAAAATTTAAAAATTATTTTTTTAAAACATTGTTAGAAATATATCAAAAAATTTTGAAATATTTTAAAATATTTTGAAATAATTGTGTAAATATATTAAAATATAACAAAATATTTTGAAACATTATAAAACACTTCAAAGTATTAGAATTTTGATTCGTTTTGATCTTTTTAAAAATAAAAATATTTCGGATTTGTCGATTGTTTCAAGACGATATTTTGATAGTTGGTCGGATATAACAGGTGATTAACGTTGGGACGATATCAACGTTGTGCCGAATATTTTAAACTTGGCCTGGACATGCAATACGTGGCATTACGTAGTACAAACAAAATTTGCTTGTACGTCTGTGTACGAATTAAACGGATCAACCAGTCTAAAATCTTCATCGCATGATTCGCATCATATGATCAATGAGAATGGCTTCAAAGCTAGGAAGCTATTGTTATCATCTTCATGGCATCAGTGCCACTGATTCGTCACCCCTGAAGTCTTCCGGATTTTCTTCTCTCTCTTCTACTTTCTCTCTGTACCTCTCCTCTTCAAGTTCAAGCCCATTACGATACCAGAAGACTAACACTCTTTCGTTTCCTTATTTTTACCACCACTACAGCTCTTTTTTGTCTAACAGTACCACTCGGTCCACTGCTACTAGATTAGTATTGTCAGCCTCAAAAATGGCTACTGGGTAAGTGCTTTTTATTTATTTTTTACTTAACTAACTTCGTTTTTTAAAAATTTAAATCGTATTTCTTCTGGGTATTTTGATTTGGCTCTGATTTTTTGTTCATTCCTGTATTAAACTCTCTCTCTCTCTGAAGGGTGCAAGAGACTCTTCCACCTGCCCTCGACTCGACTTCAGACCCACCTGCAATCTTCGATGGAACTACAAGGTTGGTTATGAATTGGGTTTCTCTTTTGGGGCTATTTGATTTATAAATTTGTGGGTAATTGTTATTGATGTGTTTGTGTTTGTGGGAATGCCCATATGGACCTTTTTCGCATTTGTAAGAACTCCTTTTGTATACTTACATATGCCCGTGTGCATTTTAATGATTGCAGGCTGTATATATCTTACATATGCCCCTATGCACAACGCGTATGGATTATTCGGAATTATAAGGTTGTTTCAAGAATTCTTCTTGATCTTGCTTCTGCTTTATTTAATCTCTCTCTCTTTCTCTCCCCTTAATTGCAAAACACCCCGGGTTTGGCAGACAACCTCCCTCAACGTTAAACCGTTGCATCAAACCTCCTTAAACTACAATTTTTTGTGCAAAACAAGACGGTCGTCGAAAATTGAGCGGCACGTACTGCACACGCGCCCAAAACAGCGACTGAGTGGCCAAATTTATCAAAAAAAATTTTCTAAAATTTCAAAAATATCCCCATTTCTTTCTCCCCCTCCTTCCCCTTGTGTTGCTCGCTTTCTACCCTCATCACCGGCGAACAGTCGACCACTATCAGTCATCTCTCTCTTCACCTGCGAACACCCGCCACCACCCGGCACATCAAACCCTCCACTGCCCAACACCCCAATCAAAATCCACCAAAACAAAACCCTACCTTGAACATGGATAACAACCCATCTCAAAACAACAACCAATGGTACTGCACAACATTTGCACCCACCACCCCAAGATATAGAGAGAAGGGTTTGAGGGAGAAGAAGGGTATAGTGGCTAAATCAGGGTGTTTTGGTATTTTTATAAATTTTGTAGCACTTTATTTTTAAATTGAGGGGTTTAAGTATTATAGTTAAAACTAAGAAGGTCACGTGCAAACGAGAAATGACACTAAGTACAAGTTTTTTTTTTTTTGTATTTAACCTATTAAATTTTGCATAGTCCTTGCAGAGTTTACATTGTTAAATATATGTTCAATTTTCTTCGGAGAACAGGGACTACAGGAGAAGATAAAATTGGTTCCTATTGACCTACAAAACAGGCCAGTTTGGTACAAGGAGAAAGTTTACCCACCAAACAAGGTGAAATTATATGAATTATATGTTTTGTGGTTATAAATAATACCATTATAAGTTTACCCATATCAAAATTCTTACCTCTTAAAAACTAAGTACGCACAATAAGTCAGTTATGTTTGCAGTTAATATGTGTGTTCAATGGCATCGAAAGTGAAACAAATAGGTTGCAAAGAATTGTAGAAAACTTTTAAGTACTCATTAGTTGTTTCCTACATCCATATTCTTTTGCCCTTTATTATATGTGACGCGTTGATGCAGGTGCCATCTTTGGAGCACAATAATAAAGTTATGGGGGAGAGTCTTGATTTGATCAAATACATTGACAGTAACTTTGAAGGGCCTTCTCTTTTCCCTGATGTAAGATCTGGAGACTCTTATTCTAACGTATTTTTGAAGACTTATGGCTCTGCATTCTGAAAGAGTGTTAAAATTTGGCAATATAGGATCCATCCAAGAAAGAGTTTGCAGAGGAGTTGCTGTCATACACTGATTCGTTCTATAATGCTGTGACTGCTTCTTTCAAGGCAGACGGAAATGATGGAGCTGGTGAGCTGAACTCTTAACTGATGTTGAAGTTGTGAATTTCAAAATAACCTAGTGTAATTGTTGTGATAAACTGCTTTAGGTGCTGCATTCGATTACATTGAGATGGCTCTTTCCAAATTCGACGATGGACCTTTTTTCCTGGGTCAGTTCAGTCTGGTGAGTGAAAACCTTTCTTCTGTTATCTGCATAATGTATAACATTATTCCTGAGTCAAACTTTTAAAAGTGGCAAGTTAATTATCATCCCATTTTCTGAAGAGCATTATATTAGATGAGGTAAAAATTGTAAGATGAGGGAAAATTGTGCTTTTTGATTTGACAAGTTTTGATGTCTGTGGTCTCTAAGTTCATATCTGTGTCCTTCAGGTGGACATAGCTTATGCGCCATTCATTGAAAGATATCAGCCCTTCTTGCTGGATGTGAAGAACTATGACATTACTGTAGGCAGACCAAAACTGGCAGCATGGATTGAGGTATTGCAATTATATTTGTTCTTTGTATGACCTTGCGTATATCTAGGTCCCCATGGAATCATCAGTTTTTCTTGGTTTGACATGGCCCTAGAGAGGACTGACTTGGGAGTAAGGCATTGTTGAGTAAGTGACATGCTGACTTTGATCAAATTCTAATTTCTTGAAAACTAGAACTGTGCGTCTGCTACCAAAATTGATTTACTGATGTACCTAGTCATAATTCTACTTTTGATCCGTGGGGGTAAGGATTAAACCTTATTCAGAGTTTAGTCTTTGGACTACAAAGTGACATTGACTTCCAACAAATCATTTGCAAATCTTATTCCACTATGGAGGACTCTATTATCATTCCCAAGTTGCATCTGAAGAGTGTTGGGCACATAAAAGTTATGATAATTTGCCACAATTAAGACGTAAAATTAAAAACCTTTGAAACTCTTTTTTGCTCAAATAAACAGGCATGGTGTATGATGCCACAATTGAGATCTGAATTTTTAGGTCTGAAATGCAGAGCCATTGAGACACTTACATGCTCTGATAACTAGGTATTGTATATAATGGAATAAGGATGTTGGGTATTTGGTGTTTTAGTGCCCAGTTTGGGATCATGTGGAGTTTACAATTCTCATATGAGTGGAGAGGGATGGGGAAACTCTAGCCTGGTAATGCCCCGCCCCAAGTTGAGTTCGATCTGTCTATAGATCTTGGTGTATTCCCTTGAAATCAATTTTTCTTTCCTACAATGTTTTATGGATGGAGGCAATGACATGTCAAGCTCTCCCAGTTGCTTTGCATTTTCGTATTTATCTGTGTTCACACACCCATACACAAAAGATGGTTCCGGTTTCTGTGATGATTGAACATCTAAAGAGCACATGCATTACTATGAACACTCAGAACAATTGTTTTTCTTGAGTTGCAATACAGTGGAATTATTTTTGGCAGGAGATGAATAAAAATGAAGCTTACAGTCAAACTCGATGCGATCCAAAGGCAGTTGTCGAAAGCTATAAAAAACGTTTCTTGGTATGCCTTAATTACTGAAGTTTGCCAAAAATATTGATGGTTCCTGAAATTGTCTTAGGCCATCTACATTTCCGTACAAACACAGCTAATTTCTTCACCCAATTCTTCTTTTATGCAGTCTCAGCTCTGAATTCTGCATGAGTGGGGAAGTGCTGATGGATTGTCTTCCAAATTCTGAATGAGGAAGTGAAATAAATTAGTATACTTGTATTTGTGTGTTATTTTTCGTATTTTACTCAAGACTTTTCGTGTATTTTTGGGTGTTGGTGCTTCATATTTGAAAATTTTTGTGCAACTACGTGGGTTACCTTTTATCTATTACTCAAGCAGATTTTTTTTTTGGGTACTGTATCATTTCTAAAGTTACGATCTAATCAAATTATGGCCCAATATGACCAATGTTGGATTGATGATCCCAAGTATTTTTGGATCAGTCAAAAGGTTTTAAATGTTGATGAATCATAATTTTAATATATAAATGTAAATTTAATTGTTACAGCGAGTGAGTTTGGTTAAATTTTAGTATGTTTTAGTGATAAATGGGTAGACGGGTTAAATTATCAGGTAAATTGGTCAATATGAATTTGATTATACATATTTTATTCTAAGTAAGGTCATCAAACTTAACATGAAATTGTTATGGAGTTAGAGAGTTCTGGTTTATTATTAATGAATTTGGTTGATGAGTGAATGGACTTGCAGATCCATCTAAAATGGATCGATATGAATCAAATTACACATATTTTATACACAATAAATTAGTCCACTTAGTTCACTATAATGGTTGGATTAATTTCAATTTTGGATAAGGTTCATTGATGTGAATTGGATCAAAACTTAATTTGAAAAATTAGGAATAAAAAGTGTGATTGTTAAGGATTAAAATTTAATTTTATCATATAATTTCAGTTAGCTTGGAAACAAAAATATTTTAGAAATTTGATAAAAACAAAGAAAAATATCAAAACTTTATTTTCAAAATATTTATTGAAACACCTTAAGACTTATTAAAACACTTCAAAACATATAGATTTTGATACTTGACCATATTTTTGTTTTTTATTTTCATGACAATCGAAACCTTTTGGCCCGTTTAATGAAAATAAATTCGAATTTAGTTCCTTGGTTATTAGAAAAGAAAATCATATGTTTTGGGGCAACTTCAGTAAATATTCAATACAACAATGATATCATATTAACATTATTACGTGGTATCATCATTTAATAATAAAAATGTAAATAGGTAAGATAAACCCCACTTCCCTGCATATGAATAATTATTGGCTTACAGGAAAAGTGAAAGAGTACTTGGTTACTATTTGAGCAATGTTGGCGTGGTGGAAAAAATATTAGGTGTAACCGCTACACCACGTTAACAGTGTCACGTAGTGTAATCGTCCACGAATAAACAAAATAAATCTGTAAGTGAGCCCCACAAAAAGTCATAACCATCTAGCTATGTAATATATAATCAATTCTATGATAAGAATGAAGCCCACTTTATACATTTTATAATTTTTTTTTATTGATTGATTATACCTAATATTTATTTAATGTGATGATATTGCGTGACAATGTGGACATTGTATAACGGTTACATTGAATATTGTCTCCACTTTTGGGGGCAGGGACATGGGCCCCGGGGGGTGTTAGGTAATGATGAATTAAACTACCCACCAATCTAAACACATTATCAGGAAAAATGACTAGAAGGAATGTAAGTTATTGTTATCATCTTGGCCTCACTAATGCTTCTTCTTCATCAAGCCTTATGTCTTCATGAGATTTCTCTCTCTCTTCTACTCTCTCTCTCTACTCCTCCTCTTCAAACCCCCTATTGCGATTCCAAATGCTTCACACTCAATCGTTCCCTTGTTTGCACATTTAATATTGCTCTTTTTCCTCTAATAGTAGATAGTGAAGTTACATGGAGTATCGTTGTCGATTGTGTTTGATCGAAATAGTCATTTTATGGCTAAATTTTGGCAGAGCTTACAAAAGGCATTGAGAACAGAGTTGCATTTCAGTACGGCCTTTCATCCTCAGATAAATGAACAATCAGAGAGGATGATCCAAATTGTGGAAGATATATTGAGGGCACACGCGTTCTTGACTTCAACTGGAGTTGGAGTGAACATCTTCCATTAGTGGAATTCGCCTATAACAACAATTATCAGTCAAGTATCGGAATGGCTCCTTACGAGACATTATATGGAAGACCATGTAAGTCACCGACTTGTTGGTTAGAAGCTAGAGAGAGTAGCTTATTCGGACCAAAAATTGTTTGAGCGACTATTGAGAAAATTCAAGTAATTAAGGAAATACTACACTCGGCTCAGAGTAGATAGAAAAGCTATACGGATAGAAGAAGAATATTGTTGGAATTCCAAGAGCGAGACTATGTGTTTATTAAAGTTTCATCCAAAAAAGGAGTGTTCAGATTTGGCAAGAAATGGAAATTAGTGCCAAGGTATATCGGACCATTTGAAATGATCAAAGTTGTGGGTAAAGTGACGTATTAACTTAGGTTACCAGCTCAGTTGTCATGAGTACAATATGTGTTCAATGTATCAATGTTAAGGAAGTGTAAATCTGATACAATGCATGTCGTGGAATTGAAAGAAATTGAAATTCAAGATGGAGTAACCTATGAAAAACAACCGGTGAAAATTCTTGATATTAAGGAGAAGGTGCTTTGCAATAAGGTAATTCAATTGGTCAAAGTTTTGTGGCAACATCATAGGGTAGAGGAAGTTACATGAGAACCAGAGTTGGAGATGTGAAAGAAGTACCCTCATTTGTTCTCTACACTATGTAAGTTTCGAGGATGAAACTTTCTTTAAGGGAGGTAGATTGTAAACCCCCACATGTTCATTTTAATGTAGTGACATAATTGTTTTGTATTTCTTATATATGTAATGATATAAGAATGAATCATATAGGTTATAAGAGTAGAAATAAAGAATTGGAAGATAAATTGATCATGAAAATTGAGTTTCGGAGGCGTTAAAGCATGATAAGGGTGATTAGGTAAGTTTGTAAATGTTCTTAGGTTAAAATAAGGTCACCATTGAATCTGAAAGGTAGAAAAACTTTGAGAGAGGTAATATGGTGTATATTAAAAGTTAGGAAATATCTTGAAGTTAAAATGCATTTCCGAAAGAATTTGGGTAGGAATTAATTTTACACTACCTTAGTATTTTGGCCATAACTTTTTACTCATAACTCTGATTGAACTGATTTTTAGACAATAAAAACTAGACTTCAAAGGATGCAAAAGTGTATTTCACAAAAAATTTCTAAATCAGCTCCTAAATAAGTCAAAATAGAGCTAAAAATTGGGGGTATACTGTCACCCACGTCCGGACGGGAATAAACACGCGTCCGAACGCACTTGGCAGAAAGTTTGGCAAAGAAACACTCGTTCGGACAGTAAAATACACATGTCCAGAAGCACTGAAAAGAGGGTTTCACGTCCCTGGCCTGCTTTGGGTTTTCTATCAAATTTTTCACTATAAATATTTAGGGAACAACCCTTAGACTAAGTTTCATTAGTTTTTCATCGTAGAAAACCCTAGAGGGTGAGTAGAAAGGAGAGAGCACATTACTTCAAGGGGTTTTTGTCTAGATGACGGATAAAGCACCCTAAGGTTTGCATCACAACCTACAAAATCAAGGTAGGGAATTCTTCTTGAGTTATTTCATTGTGACTTAGAGTATTATTTATATATGTTTTCAATCTTCTTGATAGTTATATGATAAATGTTTATGAGTTCCTGGTTTCTTCATCATTAAAACATAGTTTTGAACAAAATACATATTTGGGTTCAAAGAATACTTATTCTTGAATTTTCAAAATTCTAGTTCTTCCAAAATACATGTTCTATTATGAATGTCATATGGATTCTTGATTTCTAAATTCCCATTATTGACTAAATTTGATTTTCAATCAATTACTTGTTCTTACTCCAAGAAATTATAGTTTTTGGCAAAACCCTAGAATTTTGATATCAAAATTATAAAGGTTTTATTGATATGATCTATTGCATATTTTCATTCTTTTATTATTATAGTATATTGAGAATTGTGCAACTGTAATACTTGAATTTTTAATTAAGATTGTGATTGATTAAGATTGTGGTTGTTGAGAAAATTGTTATTTCATTTCTTGTATGGTTTGGGTGTGACGAACTTGAATTGTCTTCGATAGCTGTCGTAGAGTGTTAGAGGTTAGTCTATCCCAGTGGGAGGTGAGATAGTTGTCTAACACTCGTAGTGAATTGCTGTTTGTGAGATCAATCATTATTGTTCACGTAAGTTCGAGGTTAAGGGTTGGTATACCTTTCCTGAAAAGGATTCTTCAATGTTGTAGGAGACTGTATACGGCCTTCCTAAAGTGGTTTGTGATATACTCTACGGGAAATGATTGAGATTGTTTGGTTTGTGGTGGGTGAACGAGGTAGAATCGTTGTGTAGATTCCTAAAAAATAACCAACATACATGAGAATAAGAGATGATGCCACTGAGATATTTATTAATTGCTTTAATTTCTTATAAATTTATTCCTATCATTGATTTATTGTATTCCGTACACTTGAGATCATTACAACTATCATGATTTTACTCTCAATATATATATGCTATTTTTCAAAAGAGACTTGCCTTTTTTTTTATTGTTTTGGAATTTGAGAGAGATTTTTACGGGCTTTTGCTCCCCCCTTACAATACATTATAGATTTTGGTTGGCAAGAGGATGTCGAGTTAGAAGAGCAGGTTGATCTCGAGGAAGGAGAGGGTCAATATGAGGATCCTGAAGTGGAGGCTTAGAGATGCTTTGTTTTATTTCTTATTATTGTATTTGGAGAGATTTTTGTGAAACAATGTTTAATTAGTTTTATTATTCCGCAGCTAAATATTTTTTGATTTTGAATTGTAAGTTGAATAAATTTCAATATTTTGTTGATTTAGTATTTATTCTTTGTTAGGTAGATGAATGGTACATTATTTAATGGTTATTTTTAGTTGCTCCCATGGTTGGATGGTTTGTAGATAGTAATATCTTCCATAGTAGATTTTGTAGCGTTACAATTTGTGCCTCTGCTACTAAAAATCTCTTTACTACTATACCTGGCTAGTTGCACTTCAATCACTAAAGTATGTATTCCCAGCGGCAAGATATAGACCTCCTTTGAATTCTGGTTTTTGAATTATGAAGAAATTACAACCAGTCATTTATAAGTTTTATTCCACTATGAGGGGAATGCAAAACATCCCCAAGTTGCGTGTTTAGAGTATTAGTTTTGTGAATGTTTTGGTAATTTACTTTTTCACCTTCCAAGAATCACTTGTTTTTGCCCTGGTTACTAAATGCCACAATTGAGAAGTGAAATTACTATCTCATCTCTAGTATAAAACCTTTGAAATGCTCCTTTGCTTCAATAAACGGGCATGATGAAGGATGTAATTGCAAATTCAGATCTCAATTGTGGCAATGACATTTCAAGCTCTGCCTATTGCTTAGTGCTTCCTACTTACATTTTTGCACTCACACATACACCCCCCCATACACAAAAAGATGGTTCTGGTTTCTTTACTGACTGAACGTGCAATTACTTTGTTTCAAGCTCCTGCATTACTATGAACACTGAGAACAACTACTTTTTCATGAGTTGTATTTAGTGGAATTTGTTTTTTTTGCAGGAAATGAGGCTTACAATCAAACTCAACTAGATCCAAAGGAGCTTGTTGAAATTCTTAAAAAGCGTTTCTTGGTATGCCCTAACTACTGAATTTTTTTCCCAAGAATGGGATATTCTCTGAAATTGTCTTGGACCCTCTGTACTTGCATGCAAGCATGGCTAATTTCTTCACCCAATCCTTTTTCTCTGCAGTCTCAGCCCCGGGCTCTTGCAAATCAGTCGCAGACCATAGGATTAAACACATTCCTGAACATTTTTTTACTATGTTTGCATGCTGGTGAGTGCCGATGGCTTGTCTTCAAAAGTCATAATGATGAACTGAAATAGGTATAATTGCATTAGTTTGTAATGTTGTCTTTTATTTCAGACTTGTCCCCTAGTTTTTGGGTGGTGCAACTATTAAATTGTTAGGCATCCAAGTGCTTAATGTATTTGCAAAAGTTTGTGCTCTGCACAACTACATGTTATTTGCTTATTTTGCCTATAATTCTTGAAAAATATCTCTCTCTCCCAAAGGTTTCTGTTTAACAGAAGGAATAAAAAACCAGTAAATGTACTCTACCAGAGAATGGGAATATAATATTGTATTGGATGAGATAATAAGAACAGGACAATCCACAATACGAGGCTTCCATCATTGCGGGTTTGTGAGGCATTCGGAGACTACTTCCGTGCCTCCAACACACGACATTCGAATCACATGTAGTAATCTTACCCTTGGCAACCGTTCACAAGGATCTGCACTGCTAATGGGGGAAAGGAATCATTCCAGATATAATAGTGGTTACTGTTGGGTTTAAAGAAATTGCAAATTTCCACATTCCTGTGCTTTTATGAGGATTCTGAAGCATAAAATAGTACAAGATGAATTCCTTGCTCTTTCTTTCTCAATTATCACCCTATTATGATCCCTTAAAAGGTCATACTTCTATCAATGGTGTTTGTAGGACTATCAATAGGTCAATATTGTTAGGCTTATACTTCTATGATACATGTTCATCACCCAAACCCGTTTAAGCAAATCTAAACCCGCTTATTCTGTGCTGGTTTTGTGTCAGGCTCATCGGTCAAGTATAGAATTTCCAGTCCTATTATTTACCACCACTAAACTGCAGTAGCAATATCCTGACTGAAAATCCCTTTTTCACTGGTATGCATCACCAAAATACAGAAGATGAATACCACAAGTTTTAGTGGCAAAACTATGGATAGTAAAATGAACCATCATATCACCAAGAATAACCTTTATTCATGAATTTCAAAGCCACATAGTATGAACTTTTAATATTCTCAATATGCATAGGAAATTCCTGCTCATCATAACTTCATAAAATCTTAACACATGACCAAAACAGGCCTCATTACATAGAAAATGGTGGTCCCTCATCCCTACCAGCTTTGACAAGAGTATACAGAGCTGAGAACCCGACCGACACTGTATAAACGTGATGTGGTTTCACCTACACAAACTTGGCAAAAGCAAGTTCTTTTAACGGATATTCGAAGTCACAGGAAAGCACAATCCATGCTATCATGAAAACATACTGGGTAAAAACACAAGATAGAAAAGATTAACTCTATGCAATCAAAGGTCTTTCGACAATAAAAATCAGTATAACACAATATGTGAAATCGTGAGACTTCTTCCAGCTCTGGAGAAAAACTAAAGTTTGATTAATCATCTGAACTCCTTTTACACTTCTATATACTCGAGAACTAAATATGGAGTGTACCGCAACAAAGCCCAACTGGTGCTTTGAAGATCCAGCATGCTCCAGATTACTATTCTAAACCACCATTGTACGAGGCAAGGTAATGAACTAAGAAGGAACATGAAATCAGTGTCGACATCTGGACTCTGCTGTATCCTCAATGAAACATAGCAAACTGAGGGTTGCAAAATGTCAAAGGCGTTTAATCAAAAGTAACAACTTCAGGAACCTCCCAAAAAAGCAGCTCCCCACTGATCCATAATTAGAATGAATACTCTGTTCATATATGGCAATAATTGTCCTGGGCATTGCAAATATACCAAAAAGTTCTCCATAATCATCTGGCACCACCCCATAATGACGCGTTGTAAGAGCCAAATAAAAGTTAATGGGCAAAATTGCTACATCAGCAGCACTTTCCATATCTTCCTCATGTACACAACTAAGGACCATACAGCAAGCCATGCTGAGATATAGAGCAAAAGAACACCAGAAGCAACAAGAGTTCCTGCCCCTATGAGACTGCAGAAGATAGAGAGGAGAGGGAGAGGAAAAGAATAACAATTAACATCAAAGAATAATCAAACACCAGTCTAGGATAAATAGGGGGCCTCAAAGAAAAGGCGAATATCGAACCTGCTGTCTCTGGTGGCCAGGAGAATGGTTAGTGCGCTCATCTGTGTAGCTGTTTTCCACTTTCCCAAATTATTAACAGCAACAACCTGAAAAGAAATTTATCATAACTATTGCATTAAACAAAGCTATAAGTTACTAATCTGCAAAGAATAGCAGCAGTTATAAGATGAATGTTGTAGGAAAAACAAACCTCTGAAAGTTTGCCATTCTGCGTAGCAGCCCATTCTCTAACTGCTGACATAGTTATCTACAAAGTGATTGCAAATTGGTTTGTTAGATATTAACGTCCTACACATGCAATAAAAGAGATAAAAATTGTAGACACAGTAACAAAACGGAATCAGACGACACTCGTGAATTGTTAGATAGAAAAAGAAGTTGAACATAGCAATAGATTCAGGTCATTATTGGGACATTGTGGAATATCAGGTCATGCGCTACAATCAGACAACAATAGCTTGATGACTCAACAAAGACACCAAGTTGTCGACCACAAGTCGAGTGTGACTCTTCATTTAAAAAGAATTTGTGTTGGTCTCGAAACAGAAGGTGTTGTTCAAAATACAACTAGATCGATACTTTGAACCATAGCGGTATCGGCCATGGGCTTACAGAGCACTACCAAGCATCAGTCGCGGCATGGAAGAAAAACATACGAAATAGGGATAGAAAACTTGTACATGCCGAGGGATTTATGTCATGCCACGACACTGAAACAATATCGAAAGATATGCTACAATTGAATGACTATAACTTGGACGATTCGGCAAAGTCATGCGACATGCCTATGAGTCAACCACAAGTCAAGTAAGATCCACGTTTTAAATCAAACATGTATTGGGCTTGGAATAAAAAAAGTATAGCTCCAGATACAACTATCGAAAATGACATTGACCGATACCTTGAACCATGGATTTAACTCATCCAAATTTACATAAAGAAGGAAAAATATGATATTATATGTAAGCTTCATTTATTGGGACAAAAGCCCCAAAGAGAGTGGTGACTTTTTTGCATTGGAAGCGGCAAGGAAAACATTGATGTGGAATAATTTGTAGAGAAAAAAAGGACAAATGGACCAGTGCCAATGTTTGGTCAATATTTTGAAAAAAGGTACTTAAGCATCTACCCTTGTTCTGGTCGCATTAAGGATAGAAAAAACCATTCATGTTTCATGTTATGCATACTTCTTCCCCTGCCTAGGTACTTAAGCATCTACCTTTGTTCTGGTCGCATTAAGGATAGAAAAAACCATTCATGTTTCATGTTATGCATACTTCTTCCCCTGCCTAGCTATTCAGTTCCTACGCCCCCCCAACACAGCGGCCTCCACATTTTATTCAGTATACATTAAAAGATATTGCACACATTTCTTGCTATATGCCCCATGAATTTTGCTTGTTTAATTTATCACAGCAAAATTAAGTTTCTCAAGGTTGATATATGGGACCCACAATTAGTATGAAAGTCTCTTTCCATTGCATACATGTTTTTGTATGTGCACGCTTGCTCATCTTCTAATTATGATAAGCATAGTTCATAAGTCCTTTGTGCAGGTAGAAGTTTGGCGAATGAGTAGCAATTGAAGAAAAAGAAAACCAACACGAACAAGTGAAGGAAAGATTATAACAATACCGAGGGAAAAAAGGAGGAAAACAATAAGCGCATATAAATCCTTCTCTTTTGAACTTAATATACATGGAAAGGAAAATTTTGGCTGCATAATATGTGCACAATGATCAGAAACTCACCTCTCTTCCTATTATGGCAATTGATGGTACAGTTAGTAGCCATGGCACTGGTCCAACCGTAGCAACTTCTAAAGGTCTGCTACACAACAAGACCAAGGTGGCAGCCACCATAAGCTACATCAATTAAGTAAGATGATCAGATAAAAAAAATTTTAAGTCTACAAGTGAAATGTACACTAGTAAACCGCTTTACCCTTACCAAGGTCATAGTAACATTCTTAACTCGGAACAGTTCAAACTAGAGACTCAAAAGTTATTGAAGTAAAGGAGAATCTACCTTGTCAGCCACTGGATCTAAAAATGCACCAAATGCAGTTCCTAACTTCATCTGGAACATAATGAAGCATGTCGAGTTGATAAGTTAAGTCAGAAAAATAAAACAGGAAGTACCACCAGATGCTTGAAAAACAGAGACACTGTTTACCTTTCGAGCAAGATACCCATCAAGCCAGTCTGTAATTGCTGCAGCAATGAATATACCTGTTGTTGCAGTGGTTCCCCACCAGCTATCTACATAAAAGGCTAATAAAGACAAAAATATTTTGTTAGTCACATCTCACCAACGAACATATTGCAGCACCCAATATAATAGAGAGATGCTTGAGCAAGTTAGAGATTGTTTAATGTTCTATCATGCCAGGCACCTAGTTCAGATAAACATGATTGACAACAGTCGGAACTTGGGAAGTAGGGAGTCTACATACAAGGCCATTGGCCACAAACACATTAGTCATGATCCAATACACTTACCTTATGCATCATAAGGAGATTGTGAATACACAATCTTTGTCCATAGAATGTGGCATATTTGCAGAGTTTCATGTATGAGAAAGGTTTCATGTTTCAAACTTTCAGATAAAACAACAAGGTAGATAAGCAAAAACATGGGCATGAATTACCATAAGAAACAAACTTCACATATTCTAACCCGAAACCCAACAGAGCATCTAGAGCACTTCTATTACAATTTGATCACAAGAAACATAAATCAAATCATAGTTCAAAGCAATGCTATAATAAAAGTGCACTTGAAGTTATACAACTAAAAATTGAAATAAAAATCCACGTACTTGATCCAAATGAACATTGAAACTTTCAGACGGATCAAATCATAGTAACAATATCAGTAACAACCAAACATATTTCGAAAGTTCCCAAACATTTTCTATTTTCTTGGAGATTATATCGATAGTGCTGACTTCTTCCTCGAGGAACTCAAAGGAACATTAAATAATGTTTTTTTTCCACTCAAATTGAAGCAAACTTACATCGATTTATACTAAAAATCCAATATTTTTTCGGGAAGTAAAATTTCCCGTGAAAACAAACTGAATCAAAACAACTGCTCAGAAAATCATAACCAAATAATCAAACTTACTACTAACGAGAAGCGGAACGGCAGCTACACGGCCAATTGTCAAGATCGTGGGCAATGTGAGCAATTTGGCAGCCTGTGGTTGCTTTGATGGGGATGTAGGTAGCGGCGGTGCTTTGGGGCGGCGGTGGTGGTGGTTCTGCGACGGCGATGTTGACGTGGACAAGGCGTCATTCTTGTACCACTTTTCGTCTTTGTTTTCGGAACCCATTTCAGACACAACCCCTCCTTTGTCTTCGGAGGAACAAAAATATTTCTGACCGCGAAACCCTAGCTTTCTATATAAAACCTTATCGTGAGCCAGAGGGAGGATGGGTGCGCACGGGCTTACCCTCCACCCGCGTGTCCAGGCCGCCGAATATTTTGGGGTTTGGCCTATTGTGGTGGGGTAACTGGTGGTTGTAATAGTGGCGGTGGTGATTGGGGTGGTGGTCGTCATTGTGCGGACCCACTTATTGAGCTTGTTGGGTTTGCCGTACATGGAAGCGACTACGGTGAGTTTGAGGGCTGGCATGGTGGGAATTACGCACTGTGGCTAAGGTTAGCAGGAGTTTGAGCGAGCTCATGTTAGCAGAAATCCCTCTCTCTCTCTCTCTCTCCTCTGCTAAATCTCCCCTGTACTTTTGTTCACTTGTACTTCAAAGTCATATGGATCAAATTATATTTAGAGTGAGTTGTATATTGTACCACTGAAATTTAAAAATTTATACTTTATATTTTTAAGAATTAAATTTTTTTATATTATACCCTTAATATATTCAAAATATTATAATATGATAATTTAGTTAGTTTTCATTATTCATTTTGTCAACATCAAAATGGTGGTTTTTGATAGAATAAACCAAGGGAGTTAACAGAAGCATCGTATTGAAACACTTTTGATATATTAAGGGTATAATATGAAAATTTTAATTTTTGAAAATATAAAATAAGAAATTTTAAATCTTTTAGGGTATGAAGTGTGATTCTCCCTTATATTTAATATACCAGTTCAAAAAAAAAAAGTATATACGAGTTCAAAAAAAAAAGTTAATATTTTATATGATTTGCACTAGGAAATTAAAATTATATTTTTTTAAGGAAAAGTTACAATTAATAAATCATTAACATCTCTAATTAATTGTAACTTGATTTTTTAAAAATTATAATTTTTATAATCTATCATAATATTTAGGATCGATCATGTATAATCTCAACATTTTAAAGTTAATATTACCCTTTTTTCTTACAATTAGACCCGAAAGAATTATATGTTATCGCATAAAAAAAATACAAATTTTAATACATTTTTTGGTACCCAATTCTAATCCTTAAGTGTGAGTGATGAAACACAAAAGTACACAAGATAGACTGTGTTTTGTTAAATGAAATTCGTCGCAACTTACTAAACATATAATTTTTTAGAATTATATTATAGCCGTTGAGATTCAAGTTACAATTTTTCATGAGGTTAGTGTTCCAAACTGATCATAAAAGATTAAGTACAAATTTTATTCAAACCCCTAATTATTAAGGTAAAATTTAGTTTAAATCCTAACAAATTTTAGCTGGTTCAATTTTAACATTGTTGGATGGTAGACTTTAGTATAACGATAAAATTGATCTATTATAACATAGATATTAAAAATTCGAACCCGTGATCCGTGACTTAATAGTCCAACGGTAGACTACAGTGGCCATTAGCCAACCGCTGATCCTCAAATTGAAAATAGTTTAATCTATGGGTGATTTCACCCACCCCATTCAGATTAAAGTGACAGTAGCATTTATACAGCATGGATTTAGAACCATGCATTGCAGGTGTGCTTATAGGCATAGAGTAGTCCAAAGCTCGAAATAAACAAAATCAAATGTACACAATCCTACCCCAGATATCTTCCACATTTGAAACATTAATGCCGTCACTATACCTAGAACAGGTTCTAATAGAAGTCTAAAGAGAAGCTACACAATCAAAGCTGCAATAACTCAAATAATGAGAATTTTTCTCTTTATAAAGGGGCAATAAGTACAAGACTTGATGTCCAAAAAATTGTAAGAGCCTCAATTTTACATACTATCAGAAGAAAGGAGAAAAGAGTCAGGTGAACAGTGAGAGCAAAGAAATTTTCAGATTTATATATATAAAAATACTTCCCAGTGACATAAACAGTAATATGAGTGTTTAACCTGTTATCTGGAGTGATGTAAAATTTGATAAGCAGGCACCACTTCATGTGCAGCAAACAACCATAAAGCAATCTTCATGGCCACTAGATGATTCACACATCCCTATTTAGATAAAATCATCTTGATGTAGCACGGCTAGCAAAGTGATGGCAATCTAATCATGGGCTTCCAAGTTTAAAAGGTCTTAGAATAATCATCTGCATCGATCTTTCTTACCCAGACTGTCATTTTTACTGTTCCCTTCGGGTTCTAGGTGTTGAAGCACCTGACCGGATGCTTTGGACTGGCTGGGTTGCAGGATCGTATTTCTGGGAAGCAAGATAGCTTAGGGCTGTAACTACATCTGCTACAAGAGGCCGCATGTTAGGCTGCTCCTGAACACACATCGCCGCAACAGCAAGAGCTTGGTACAACCCTCTCACTGGATATTGGCCCTGGAGCATCGGGTCAGCCATCTGTGAAAACTTCCTACGGTCTTTGAACAAGGGTCGAGCCTGCAATAATTGGACAACTTTTAAAAAAATCCAAATGCAGCAATTTCTAAGCAACAACAGACTAAGCTTCACTTCATTATTGCAAAATGTGTCTTACAGTAGAGTAAAAATTGAGTCCATATCATTGTTATTATCAGAATAAGCATTGTGCTGGTGGAACATTTTTCAATGTTGCTCCTCCAATATACCTAGTGCAACATATGGTTAAATTGGCAATGAGAAGGATCTTATAACAAATCAATGCTTTTTCTCAAACCATCAAAAGCTTCCCAAACAAGGGGTAATCCTTTAACGTATCAACGTAATCCTCGATTAGCCTTTGTTAAAGCATCAGTCAGATATTAAAGTCAACCTCAACTGCCAAACCTGTTTCAACTTTTTTGAAGTTTTTAGGCAGTGATCATCTTTCTACAGTTAGCAGATGAAAAAACATTATTAGGGATTTACCTGAAGAAACTAGTCTTAACCAGGGAAATCCATTTATAATCTACAAGAGCAGCTTATGACAAAATTAAACCACACACAGAACTAACCTTCAGGGACTAGGTAACAGTGTCAAGTGCAGGTATGTGTTTCTGTGTCAAATACAGATTTCAAATTCTATTAATTTTAAGTGGTTGGTATACACCAACACATCGGCATTATCTTGTGTCGTGTTGACTTGGGTTTGGTTTCGGTAGAGAGTGTCTCAGACAACAAAGAAGGCTAGTAATTAACCAAACAACAAAGCAGCACTGAGGAAACTGTTAAAAGTTGTTGCTAAAAAACTAATGAAACAATTCGATTTTTCTCTTCAAGTTTAATTGGTACAGTAATTGGTAATGCAACTATAATGTTAGCATACATCCCTGAATTGGTGGGCAATTCACTATTTGAATAAGCATTTGGCCATGAAACTGACAAAGAATTGTGCCCACAAGTTCCTTGGAGTTACGAGATTAGATTCTGTATGCTTTTGGGATGCATGGAAACACAATCTATTTATATGACAAAAGAAGGGCAAGCAGCACTTCGAAACTAATGTCAATGAGAAAATTTGAACAACTAAAACAAGTCTCTTACCCATCCAACCAAATTGCTCTCCGCTGCAGCTCTTGAATTGTCAATAGCTTTTCTGCCAGTAATAATTTCCAGAAGAACAACCCCAAAACTATACACATCTGACTTCAAAGTAAGCTGACCTGTCATTGCATATTCCGGTGCGCAGTATCCATAGGTCCCCATTACCCTAGTGGATACATGGGTATTATCACCAACAGGGCCCAATTTAGCCAAACCAAAATCGGACAGCTTGGGATTATACCCTTCATCAAGTAAAATGTTTGCACATTTTAAGTCACGATAAATCACTGGGGGGCTTGCTTTGTCATGCAAATACTCCAAGCCCTTTGCAGCACCAGCAGCTATCTTCATTCTGGTGTTCCAGTCAAGTCGTTTTTTATCAGGTGGAAGGTCTGGAATACGAAGCAAGAATCCAATCCTTTGTCATTAGATGCTAGATAAGAGGTACATAAAGCTACCACAGGGAAAAGCAAGCATCTAGCACTTGACCCTTGGACCGAATGCATAAGATGTTGGGCAACATAAGATGAGACTGATCCTGAATCAGATGATTATCATCCTTGTTTTCTTCGCTTTTCTATCTTTTTCTTATTAATTCTGATTTTTTTTTGTCGAGGGAGGGAGTGCTTGGTGTTCTGGGCCATCAAAATCTCTTAATACTAAATATTTTGGTTTTGAGTTATAACCTGCAAACCATTTTTGGAGGCCTCACTTCTAGCATGCAATGCATTAAATAATCGAGTCTCTTATTAGCACATACCAAGTAGATGGTCTTCCAATGATCCTAATGGCATGTATTCGTAAACCAGAAGTCTCTGATCTCCATCAGCACAATATCCAATCAAGTTCACCAAGTTTGGATGATGAAGCAGGCTTAACATCAGCACTTCAACAAGGAATTCCCTGTTCCCTTGCAAGCCATTACGATCAAGCTGCTTAATAGCCACAACCTAACAAGAAAATAAGAAGGAAAGAGCTCAGATATCACCATACACACCATTCATGTATGGTAAAACAACAATGAATCTTAGCACACAGAATATCAATTATGTAGTCCCATAAAGTGGGAAAGGAATACCACCAATCGTTAACCAAGATGAACATAAGCATACTAAAAAAAAAGGATCTTTAGTGTTTATTTGAACCAAGAGTAAAAACAGGGTTTAGCAAGAAATCTTTCCCGTAGACATCCAGTCACATGTCTGCAATCAGACATTTTAAAGGTTCAAGGCAAGGCAGTCTTTCAGAAAATTATTAAAGAGTTAATGAGGTATGCTATTCAATTAAATTCTATAATGAAGTAGTTCAAAAGGTATAACTATATATTAAATTCCATCCAAGTGGTGGCCGAAGGAGACTAGACTCAAAATCATTATTCTTTCCCTTTCTTCAGTAGAATCCCAGAAACCAAACACCTACTTTTTGCTCCGTCCATGAAGCGTATAAATTTTATGGAAAGTAGATAGACCAAAAGAGGTAATGAAGAGATAGGAATAGGAATTATAGTACCATTGGAAGGGGCACCTGTGGGAACTTCTCTCCTGATGAACTATTTCAATAGTACAGGTGTTTTTGTGCCACGAGACAAGACCATGGACGTAATGAAAAATAAAAATTTATGTAGTCAGACAATTTGTTCTACCCGTTGTTTTGCTTCTCCAGAGAAGATGAGATGCTAAAAATTAAAGTGTTTGCAATACACATTAAAACGGGTATTAATTAAGTTGACCATTAATGACTAGTTCGAACCAAGAGCAGTCTGATCCCTTAATTTGATCAAATTTCTTCTCTTGGCAAAACTCTTACAAAGTTACAAGTTTGCTCTTTCTTAAGACAATACATTATTACAGAACTGATCCCCAGCCAGTGCATTTCTTCCTACAACATTAACTCATTAAGACATATCTTGTTCAACTCCAAGCAATAGTTACAGAGATTTTCACCATTGTCTTGCTCAACAAAGAAAATGTGTGAGTAAACCAGGGTTGTCCTTACGAAACCACATGTATTGGTCTGAAATCAAGAAAAGTAACAAGTTTATTTGAAGTTTTATATAGTTGAACATCTGAGTGACATAACGTACCTGATTGGTGCTTTCCAATCGCCCTTTATATACTCTGCCAAAACCTCCTTCGCCCAAAAGACAGTCTGCCCTGAAATTTTTAGTGGCTGCAGCCAATTCACGAAATGTAAAAATGTGTGCTGCAATATGACCAGATCCTCCATCCTTAGAAGCTTCCTTCTTTACGTCCAGGGAAGGATTTACCTTGAATCTATCTGAATCACAAAAAAAAAATAATAATAATATGAATGAGTCTGCAATTAATTGTCAAAGGTGGGTTCCATCTGCTTCTCATGGGAGTCACAAAGGATTACCAACACAAGCAAAAATACTCTAACGCATGACTTAAGTCTGGATTCTTCCGATCACACAAAATATTCGCAACTTGTCCGATTAGTATTACCATATACTTCTACTGTTAGAACTAATTATTATAGAAACGTTGTGGACCACCAGTAGTTTTCGAAGTAGCTGAAATTACAGTATACTTTATTGGGCAATCAAATCCAAACCAAGAAGATAGATGTCCTATTGTAGAAATTGAAATACTTTATGATAACCTTTAACTTGAATCCGTCACTTAAAACTATTCGAATTTTTACTGTCAGATAAATAAGCAAATGGGTTTTGAGGTTTAACTTACAGTAAGATGCACCTATGCGTTGATAATCACAAATTGCACCTAATCGAACAACGATGAAAACAAAAATCCTAATTATAACAAAACTGAAAATACGCACGAAATCCTAAATCTTTTGGCAACACTTCGGATTGCTAAAAAAACCCAAAGTATAATTCACCATGCCTAAAATGTTCAAATGGTATAAGCAAAGCCAGTATTCCTTACAACAATCGGCCAAATTAAAGCAGATGATAAAATAAAAAAGAATTGTTCAAAAAATTATTCAGATGACACTTCTCATCTATCTGAAAAAACACTGGAAATATATGAAAATGTACATAATTTAACACTGCCCCCACCAGAATTGGAAATATGTGTGACCAGAGCAAGATTAGGCAATAGCGTTAATAATTTCTTTAGGGTTCTATGCAAGATTTTGAATTCTTGGGATTAATACCTGAAGATGATGGGATCTGATCTTCAAATTTCTTGTTTTGCTTCTTCTTCGCTTTCTTTTTTGATTTTCCGGAGCAGATGAGCCAACCCATGGCTGCTCTCTCTCTCTCTCTCTCTCTCTCAAAAACAGAACAGTGGCACTTTAAATAGAGAGGGGCCGACAAAAGCAGACCAAACACGAGAGAGAGAGAGAGAGAGAGAGAGAGAGAGAGAGAGGGAGAGGAAAGATTAAATTCATATAGGGATTAGGGGCACTCGGCTACAACAACCTTCATGAACCTTTCGCTCATGGGCATTTTGCACCAGTGCCCTTCAAGTCTTGGTATATTTTGAAACAACCCCAAACTTTTCCATATTTCAGATTTCTTAGCCGTTCTTCTTTTGGGTATATGTATGGTTGTTCAAATAATACTAAATGTGTCGTGGTGTTGGTTTGTGGTTGAATATTTGAAATCAACTACTCTCTCTCTCTCATATTATTAGGTTTTAATAGATGCCAACCATGTTAAAACCTTTGCAGATACTTACACCACGTTTTGAACCACAAGTTTTAGAACTCTAAACTAAAATATGGGTATTTTTTTACTTTGAGTTTTTATGAGAAAGCGAATTTCATTTTTTATAACAATAAAAGGGGAATCATCTCTGCCATGTGTGTTTACTTTGGATGATAGTTATGACACAAGCCCTAGGTCAAAATACACCTTGAAACCAGTTTAAAAGTATGTGATTATGCTTGCTTTCTTTCTTCAATCTTGCATGTGAGTACTTTTATTCACTTCCAATAGTTATCGATGCTCTTTTACATACAAAAATGTAATACTTTTCTAATATAATATTGTAACTTTTTTGGTACATAAATAAAAATTTTCTTATGGTTTGATAAAACTTAAATTCAAAACTAAATGTATCACTAATTGAAGCTTAAAAAAATTATTTGGATGAAGTATGAGTGCAGATTTTCTCAAGGTAAAATGAGAAGGGTGAGGAATTTGAGATTGTTGGGAGAGGAAGATAAATTAATAAACAACAAAAACTATAGGGGGTAAATCATAAATATGAAAGAGCACAATTGTACCGCCCTAAATCCGGGATTTGGGAACAAAGTAGCTGCTGGTTTTGTGGATACCAATGCTTTATTTGGGGCTTTTTTAAAAAATTAACCAACGAGGCTTAGTTGATTGGTTTAATCGTCACCGATTTTGTTACCGACAGATCTTAAATTTATAAATTCGAACTTCGTTATCTACTTTTAGTAATAGCGTTGAATATGTTTTGGTTTTGGTTATTAAAGAATAATTATCTCAATCGAATTCCATATATTATTTGAAGTAATCATATTTTTTATAAGTGTTTGGATTCATAATTATAGTATATCAGGGGTAATTCGTACTTGAAGGTATGATAAGTGAAAAATAATGAATTAAGAGAGAATTCAATGTGAATAATTTTGAGAAAGATTTTGGTGGCCAATAAGAGAGTCTATTTACAACCGTCTAATGAGTTTATTGAAATCTGTCATATTTTATATTATAAATATACTAGCAATATCCTGTAATTAAAGTCATTGTACACTGAATAATGACATTGTGCAGGCATTGAAATATGTGTGTTGGAGTGTGTGTGTGTGTATGTACAGTTGTATGTTATGAAGTATGTGTTGGGTTTTTGAAATTTGAGGAGGAAAGTGTGTGTTCGATGTATGAAATTTTGGGGGACCCTATAAGTTCAAAAACCTATATAATTTATTATATAGATATATATTTTAAACATATAAATTCACCTCATAATCATACATATCGGTTAAATTAAATTTTTTCCATTACCATCAAGGTTGGAACCTTGACTATGATGAATCAGTCCCACATTGCTTGGTGATGAATATTAATTATTTTATAATTGCTTGTTTTGAATTTTTATTTTACAATGTATTTTGAACCGTTTAATTATATTATACGATATTTTTTAAATTATGTAGTTTTAGTATAAAATAAATAATTTTATACAATACGAATCGAGAACATTAACACTAGGTGTGGATCACATAGTGATTAAAAGCTTTACTCCTTAATCTCACATCATCTAAGACCTCGAGTGGGTGGATATTGCTGACTCAATTCCACACCTCTTTAATAAAATGTGTGTGAAAAAATTAATAAATTTAGACTTTGAATCTCATACTCATTTTGTCTAAATTATTAATTAACTATTTTTGTAATCATTAATTTTTGGTACATTTATGGATCATTGAACCACAGTGATTGAATTCCATCATCCAAATCCTCATATTTAGGAATGTCAAAAAATATGGCATAATCTATTAATATGATATGAAATAAAGGGTTTGGGTATTCATTAAATCACCCCTTTTGTTAACGAGTAGGCCCGACACGATATGATAATAAATGAATCAGATACAGGTAAAAATCAATCAAAAAAAATATACGACACGAATTGTTTATATACTAATTATATACGACACGAACCATATATGATACGACTCGTTAGACACAAATTAATAAACGAATCGGGTATGTGTGAAAGACTTTTCAACAAGAATCTACTAAAGGCCAAACATGAATCCACCTTACCGATCACATTTGTCGGGCCTAATCATATCCTCTCTTATTAATTTACAATTTTCGCAATTCTTTTCTTGATTGATCATTTATCATGCATTCAAGTACGACTCTTTTAATATAAATTAGTCCTTCACTTATTAATTAGATGATTCACAAAAAAAAAATTGTATTAGAGTCCATCTAAATTGAAAAATTACTAAACATCAACTCTATTGTTTGAACTATTCTCGGTCACGCTAAAATATGTTTGTGAAAAAACTTATGGGATTGGTCAAGACATCTCTTTTTAATTGAAGAATAAAATAAGATTATTTCGCATCATTTTTAGTAAAATAAATGCAAAATTGTAATATAAGTTAAAAAACGTTGATTTGAGGAAGGACCATTGGGCGGCATAATCGAGGCATTGAAAGAGTTTAATTTTTTGTCAAACCGCGTGTTTGGGTTTGAATTAATTCGTGTTTAATATTCGAATAGGAATAAATAATTGTCCGTATTACGTATAAGATTTTCAATGATTGGGGATTGCAAAATGGAAAAAACGAGAATCTAGCGTACTTGTCGGCCACACGTAACGTCGTTGTACCTGTTTTGTTGTCTGTTCTATGGGTGGATCCCACCTTTGCAGGCGTTTCGAACATTGAGATAGTGTCGTAGTGGGTATGAATTAAAATTCCGTTTTGACGTATTATTTTAATTATTTAAAAAATAAAAAGTATTTATGAGAGTGGGATAAAAATTTTAAAATTTTTTTATTAAATATTAGTCAAAACATACGCAAGTATATCTTGAAACAATTCAATGCGCATGTTATTTGTGTATGGTTCATGCCATTTTGACTCGTATCGAATATTAATCAATTTTTACTTGATCTGTTTAATGGTTATGTTCGTCAGATGAGCATAACCTATGAACTAGAAAAATTATATATAGAATTCTATTTATTTTAAATCAAACCAATCATTAGAGGTTTTTCGTAAACTATAAAACACCCGACCAAGAATTTTGCAAAACTAAGTGAAAATAAAGTTGTAATTTTATTTATGAGAATTCATGCAATACTATATTAAAAAAAAAAAAAATTGTTTCATTTATACCAACTAAACTTGTTTGTGCATTATCTATGTTTGATGCTAATCCGATTAGTGTATTATTTTTAGATTCGCACACAAAACTAATTAATTTTAACCCATTTCATAACAACTGTTAAGATCAATCGCAAATACCACAAAAGTGATAATATATATATATATATATATATATATATATATATATATATATATATATATATATATATATATATATATATATATATATATATTGATATAGATATATATTTTTTAAAATAAAATTTATACATATTTAATTGTATCCACCTTATTATTGTATTATTATGATATCGATTAAGATAACTCATTACCTAAATAATTATTAATTTTCAAATAATATTATTGAAATTTAATAAATTGTGATATTAAGTCTAATAGTGAGTCCCTACATTTAATAATGTTCACTGTCCATTGAATGATCAAAAGTCATTGGATTCCTACTAATTAAATTTTGAATTAGATGCAACTACTACTATTCTTAAATTTTTAAACACATTTCAGACATCCCCAAATACATTTAGACATATGGTGGTCATTTTTCTAAATTATAAGATTATTATGTAATTGTATAAAAATAAGTGTCATTATGTAACAAATTACAGAGTAATAAACGAAAGATTATTATTAACATTTTTGTATATAGAAAAAAAGTATTTATTGATATTATTAATTTTGTAACACATTTAAACGATAAACAATAGTCAGATTCAATCGTAAAATGACAACAATTAGTCTTGTACAAAGTTTTAACTTAGTTACTTTTATTTTTGCTTGTTTATCTCATGTAAATTATTTTTTAACCTTTTTTGTTCAATGAACTTTTACATATAATTATAATAAATATGAATTTATAAACTCTGTGGTCAATTAAAAAAAATACTATTTAAATCTAATTTGATAATGTAATTCAATACAATCCATTGATTAAAAATAGACTTTATTTAATATGAAAACTTACAATTAAAACAATTGTTACATTGAATTAGGTTTCTACATCATTGCTAAAAAATATTAAAATTTACTAATGTGTCAATTTTAAAATATTTTTTTGACTCCTTTCCTGGCGGTACCATTTTTTTTTTTGGGTACCGTAAACTTATCCTAAATACAATCTAAAGTGGGTCCCCTTAGGTCAACGAAAATAAAATAGTGGGGCGCTTGTGAGACAAAAGATCCAGCTGGTGCCAAATGGTTGCGACTGTAGTTTGGATTTGTTGAGAATAGTCTTCGGTTTGGTCTATAGAAACCGGCCGTATAGTCAATGAACATCGATGTCCCCAAAGCCCATTCTTCTCAATCTCCCCCCTCTGTGTGTGTGTGTGTTAAATAAGTGGGGTGTGTTTGATTCGGGTATAGCATTGCATAGATTGAATTATTTTTATTAATCCAACCCCTAGTTGT